TTGATATTCAACAACAATCACTTCCTCCCAATCATCCTGATTTGGCTTCTTCCTGCAACAACATTGGTAATGCGCATGCCATGATGGGTAATTATCCTAAAGCACTTTCATCTTATGAAAAAGCCCTTGAAATTAAACGACAATCATTTCCTCCCAATCATCCTAGTTTGGCTTCTTCATACAACAACACTGGTTTGGTGTATGCGAATATGGGCAACTATTCAAAAGCTCATTCATTTTTTGAACGTGCTGTACAAATCGGAGAACAATCGTTACCTTCAAATCACCCAGAACTTCAGAGGTGGAGAGATAACCTCGGACGTGCAAAAAACGAGTAATAAGTTGTATTGCTATGAATTTTGTTTTTATAAAAAAGAAAAAGAAACCTTTAGAATAAAAATAAAATTGTTTTTTAAATACACACACGCACAGAGAAACTCTCGATTTTTTAGACATAAATGAGTGGTAACACCCATCAGTAAGGTAAACAATACATATCTATTGATATGTATTGTAGAGAAAGACCATTATGTTATATGGTTATGGTGTCTGAACAAGGTAGCGTTTCTCTGTGTTGTGTAAGAAAAAGAACAGCTACCCAAGAGGCGGTTTCAAGTAACGACGACACAGAAAAGAAATATATTCATTCAGTACTATGAATTACTACTTCTGTTCCAATAAAAAGAATAACTCAAAGTAAAGAATAAATGATTTCTATCGATATTAGCATACCGTGGAACAGATCAGTATGTTAATATGAATACAAAAGACTTCTCAAGTCAACTCAATCGAATGAAATGAAATTAGTATATCTATATAGTATCATCAGCGAGATGAACAATGAAAAGATAAGACTTAACCATTGTGCACGTATATATCTAATTGATTATGTAGTTTAGAAGTCATTATATGTGATATACAATGAATATGATGATGGATGTGGGTTTAGGTCATGGATATAAATATTTATCTTTATGTAGCCACACCCACACCCACTCACATCCACCCTCAAGATTCCCATTTACTTAGAGAAACAAACTTTATGTATTTGAAGCCAAAAATTGAAACGCTGTATACCCCCTTCTTTCAGAAAAGGAAACAAAATTCATCATGAAGTAAAAGTAAACAAAATCATCAATAATTAATTTTTTATATTTTCATCTTTCACTTCATGATTCAAATTTTTCAATTAATTTTGGAACAATTTTCAATTAATATTTTTTTATCAGTAACATTAGTTTGATGAAGAAATGGTTTTTGATAGATTCAATCTTGATCATACCGCAGCTTACACTCATACCCTATGTTGTGAGATTACCTCAAAACATTTGAGATGTATATCAATTACTAAATATGATTGAATACATGCCTAATCTTAATATGTTAAAATAAGAAAACTCATTTATTCTGATATGCTTTCATTTCCATTTTAGTTCTATCAAAGCTTATACTTTGTTACACTGGTAGCAGTAGAAGTTATGAATAACATATAGAAAATTAAGTTATTTTGTATAGTTTCATCTGACAAAAGGTTATAATTTAATCTCTTCAATAAATCAATTTTCTAATCATACAGTATTTAATTAAAACTTGATCTTCTTTTTGCAAAAGAAAAAAAAAGATATGCTATACAACACGATCTTATTCTAAAAATTTTACGATCAATTAAATATTATACAAAAATATTTTAATTCTAGACAACCTTGATATGTTTTTTTTTGATTAAAATATCGCTATTACAGATATACGTGCCATTTAACTATAATATTAATGAGAAGAAAAATAGAAGAGATAAGATCAAAGTTATTTGATATATAAAAGAAATAAATTTATTGGCATTTCTCTAGTTTTGACAATGTTAGATCGTTTACGTACGATTGTTTCATCAAAACCGACACCACAAAAAGCACTTGAAGTACTTTTAAATAATCCTTTTTTTGTCTGTTCGTTCATATCTATAGAGATGAATTATTTAGGAGGAAGATACAACTAATGGAGAAGAACAAAGAGAAGAATGGGATCGACCGATTGAATTTATACTTTCATTAATTGGTTGTTCTGTAGGCATGTAATAATAATAATACTTAACTGAATCTTAATTTTCATTCTTCTAGGTCTTGGAAATGTATGGAGATATCCTTACATAGGTATGTAATTACTCTAAACAGTAACGATTGATATTTTTCTTTTTTTTTTAGCATTCAGAAATGGTGGTGGTAAGAATCTATAAAATACTATCTTGTTAAGTATAACGAAATATTATTAATATAGGTGCTTTTCTTATACCATATTTTTGTGTCTATTTTCTTATTGGAACACCACTTTTTTTTCTTGAATTATCTCTTGGACAGTTTACTAGTCGTGGTGCAACAGCTGCTTTCAAAATGTCACGAATGTTTAAAGGTAAAAAAATATACTTAATATAGAAATTGATGAAAAGATGATATATTAGGAGTTGGTTGGGCAATGGCAATTAACTCCTTTTTTGTTACAATTTACTATAATATAATTATTGCGTGGTGTTTATTTTATTTTTTTGCTTCATTTCGAAAAAAACTTCAATGGAGTGATTGTGGAAATTGGTGGAATACAGAACGCTGTTTAAATGCAGGTTTTATAAGAAAGAAAAATCCTTTTTCAGATATCATATCTATATCTGTATGTAGATGCATCGGATAATTCAACAGCTCGTTTTCTCTGTCTTGCAACTGATCGATCAAGTAATTGTACATTACCGATACTTCCACCTGAAGAATATTTCGAGTAAAATATTAATTTTATATTCAAATAAACATGTATATTTTGTAATAGTCATTATGTTTTACGACGAAGTAATTCGTTGGAAGATATGGGTACTCCACATTGGGCTCTTACATTATGTTTCCTATTAGCATGGATACTTGTTGCTGCTTGTATTATCCAAGGAATTAAATCGTCTGGCAAAGTCGTTTATTTTACATCATTATTTCCTTATATTGTCATTTTTGCATTGATTATACGTGGTGTAACTTTACCAGGTTAATAGATTGATTGTTTTTGATAGAAAATATTCTAATTTTTATTACTAAATAGGTGCAGCAAGAGGAATATCGTTTTATCTAAAACCAAACTGGAGTAAAATTGGAGAATTTCAGGTAGATAATTTACTATTATTTTAATGACTTTTATTTATTTCTTAAGGTTTGGATTGCTGCTGCATCACAAGTAACTTTTTCTCTTTCAGTTGCATTTGGTTCCATACTTGGTTATGCTAGTTTCAATAAATTCAAATCAAATTATCTTAGGTTTAATCTGAATATTTTTTTCGGAAAAAAATGCAACATTCATTTTATCTTTTAGAGATTGTATGATTGTCACTGGATGTGATTGTTTTACTTCGGTAAGTTATGGAAGAATGATAAATTTATTTATTTGAAATAATAAATAGGTATTTGCGGGATTTGCTATTTTTTCAATTCTTGGTTTTATGTCATATAAAACTGGTTTACCTATTGATCAAGTAGCCAAAGCTGGGCCAGGTTTAGCTTTTATTGCTTATCCACAAGCGTTATCAATTATGCCAGGCGGACCTTTCTGGGCAGTAATATTCTTTTTTATGTTACTTACACTTGGACTCGATTCTCAGGTATTTTTAAACATAAATAAAAAAATTTCTTTATTCCAAATATTTAGTTTGCACTTTCTGATGTAACAATATCTGGATTATTGGATACATTTCCTAGTCTTCGACGTTATAAAACATATGTTATTATTGGATATTGTAGTGTTTGCTTTCTAGTAGCACTTCCAATATGTGCACCCGTAAAATATAAAAAAATACAAATTTCTCTTGATATCTATTTTTTTTCTAGGGTGGAATTTATTTATTTGTATGTATAAAATAGGATTCAAATAAAATATCAAACAAATTTCTTTAGACATTAATGAATGAATATTCAGCAAATTTATCAGTCATTGTTTGTGCATTCTTCGAATTTATTATTATTTCTTATGTCTATGGTTGAGTAGAAGAAGAAAATTTATCATAATAAAATTCTAGTTTTATATAGGTTTTAATAATTTTATGGAAGATATTCGAATGATGTTAGGTAGAAGACCATTTGAACCTTATTGGTTTTTTACATGGTGTATATCAGGTCCAATTATTACACTTGTATATAAAAGAATTCAAAGTTTTTTTAATAATTCTATAATGAAATTTTCTTTAGGTTGTCTTCTTTTCATCACTTATACAATTTAGACCACCAGCGGAAGGAAACTATGCTTATTTAACATATGCAAATGTTATCGGTTGGCTTATGGTTGTTGCATCGGTTATATTTATTCCTGCTGTTATGATTTATGAATTTATTAAAGCATGGAACGCAACAAGAAACTATCAAAATGAAGTAAAAGAATTATTGAATATGTCGTTTTTTTTAATGAATTTTTTAATTAAGATTTCGAATGATATGCCACATTATTTACGGATGTTAACATATGCAAGTCAACCACAGGATGAATGGGGACCAGCAAGAAAAGAAGATCGACATGGTCGATATGAAGTCCTAACTCCAAAAACAACGGAACCTATTGAATATAGAAATAAAATAGATGATAAATCACGTATATTTAATGGAAATTTTAACAATGCTTTTGATTCTCAATCTGACATATGTTCACGATTGTAAAATCAATTCTATTGAAATAATAAATATTCAACAGATTGGAAGTGTAGAAGAAAATTTTATTTTTCATATTTTACTGCGTGTTAATAAAGGCATTAATAAATTTTTATCTAATAGTGAATCTCATTGTTGTAAATCTAGTAATCATTATATAGATATTATTTTTCTGAGCTTGTGAACTAGACTCACGTCCGTACTTTGAGTTTATAAAATGATTCGTTTACAAGCGACATCTTCAAATAATTAACTCTCGTTGGTCTTAAATTATTCTATAAAAACTATTGGAGAAGTAAAATGGACATTCGAAATTGATCATTTTAACCAATATGTCGACAGCTGAAAGTAAAAAGAAATCGTCTTCGAAATCTTCTAAAAAAAGTCATCAAGATGACGAGAATACGGATGAAATTCCAGTAGAAGAGGTATTTGAAAAAAAGCCTTTTTCTAATTTTTAACATTATTTCAAATTATAACTCTTTTCTTATTCAGGTCCATACGGCTAATAATTGGGAAAGTGCTGATCTTGGTGATTCTCAACGAAAACAAAAGTTTCTTCGTCTAATGGGTGCAAAGGTAATTTAAGAAATCTTATTCTCTGATATTCATTTCTTTTTTTTTATAGAAACGTAAAGATGAATCTGAAATGGAGAGACAAGAATCACGTGACAGTAATCCGGATGAAGATGTATCTCCTGAAAAGAAACATTGTCGTTCAAGTACGTTTAAAGATTCAAATTTAATATCAAAAAAATAATATGAATGTTTTATTTTAGAAGGTGAAACTGAAACAATTAATCGTGAATTAGAAAGGCAATTTAATGAAAGTCTACAAGCAAAAATTACGCATGCACATCACGAAGGACTTGGATTTCATGATGGTAGTTTTAAAAATAGTGGTGCATCAAGTTCAACTGATTGGAAACATCAATCAACAAAATTGGCATTTGTGCCAGCAAAAACAGAAGTTGGAGCATCAATGGATCATGTTGTAGTAGAAAATGTCGAAAAAGAAGAAGAAAAAACTGAGAAACAAGAAGAAAAATCAAGTGATAAACATGAAAAAAAGAAAAAAAGAAAATCATAAAATATATAACTCTGTTGTTAAGTATTCAGGTTTATGTAAATAAAAACAAGAGTGATATGTTCATTCAAAAGATTAAATGGAAAGATCACTAAAATTTTTAGTTGATTACTTTGTTCAAATAAAAATTTTAGTTAAATGACAAAATTTCAAACATTTTTTTTGCATATTGACAATATTCTGAATTTGATAAAAAGAGATATAAGAAAATCAAAAGGGAATACATGGTGCTATCGTAGACTTGTTTATGATAAATCCTACAAAAATATATTGTGAAAATGAAATAATAGAATTTTATGTCGTAAAATGCATTGTCTTTTATATATTAGCAACATTACTCTATTCGAAGAAACACAGATCGGATTTATGTACTTTACAAAAAGTAAGACTGGGATTCGATTGCACAGTCTGTATTAGTCATGGTTTCAATACTGTAACTGAAGCTTTTCTCTATTAACTAATGATAATCATTCAAAAAATAAGATATTGTTTATCTTTTTTTATAAATAATTAATAATGCGAATGTAACAAGAAAGTTGCATACAAAATCTTAATTCTAATCTCTAAATGAAAAAGCTTCGACACATTAGAAAACCCTATGAAAATGGATTTTTTGAAATAATTTCTAAAACTTTCTTATTTTTCTAGCATTTACGTACGTGTTAATATCTAAGTTTTTTTTGTTATGGACACTATTTTGCTTCCGTCATCTAAACAGTGTGTCAGTCCTAAGAAAAAGCTGACAGAAAAGAGCAGTTAATAAAAAAATATCTTCCGTACTGAGAAGTATCTCGAGGTTACTTTAACACTTCTTTGCAGCGTGGTTTAATAGAATTAATGACACGTTCTTATTATGAAAAAATATATATCTCTGAGAAAACGCAATAGGACGTGTCCTGTAAAATACTCACCATATGTTCGAGATACCAAAGTACTTTTTGAAAAAATACGAAAGATTCAGAGCTCACTCTCAACGTGTATTGAATCGCTCTTTTTCCGTGCATTTGTTTTTCATATACAATCATATTCATTCAAATTAACTAGAAACTAATAGTTAAGCTGGCAGTTTATATCATTTTGACTCAATTTCAAGTATGTAGTTATATAGAATACAAATATCACCAGCAATACGTCGTATTCTTTAGAAAAGAATAGTCTTGTTAGAAATCCTGCCTAAATTTTAGCATACGTTGTCTATATTGTTTTAAGAACACTCTGCTAACTAACGATGTATGGAATAAAAAAAGGTTGAAATCAAGATTTTTACCTTATTTCGAGACATAATAGAAGACTCTCGGTCTTCTAAGTATTATATGACCTTAACAATCTTATTCAACACATTGTGCAGACTATTTATTTATTCAAGTATGCAAATATTTTCACAGAAGAAGAGAAGCATTTTTTTTTGAAATCCATCAAATGAAAAAAAAAGCTTCCACGTAATGTCGATGAAATTGTGAATTGAGTTAATGTTAAAATGTTGGCAGATATTGAAGACAAAGAGAAGATCAAGTTAACAAAGATGCGCAAACATCGATCTAAATCCAAATTAAATCGAAATTTATCATTAGAAAAATCAACTGATAGAATAATACATCCACGTATTATTAATGAACTGAAAAGAGATGTGTAAATGTTGTTCAATTCTTATTTTATCAATATAAAATATTTCTTTTCTTTTCAGACAAATTTGTTTATACCAACGTTTACGTGAAAGTCGTTTTGATCCAAGTGGTAAATTATGTTTACAAACGAATCCTTCGTGGCTAATGAAACGAACGAAATCTGCTATTGATTCTCAGCAAAGATGTAAAACTGGACCGATTATTATGTAAACCAAAAGAATATAGTTTTTACTTATTATTAATCTTTTATAGGTCTGCTATCAATCAACGACAACGTTCAATGGAATCCTTTAAACGTAATGAAATCAAACGTTTGACAGCTGATGTTCAAACTATTCTAGTATATAATAAAGAAATATTATTAACTAACTCGATTTTTTGTTTTATCTATTTAGACAGGACCGGTCCTGAAAAATAGTAATCAACTGTACAAGCAAACAAACAAGAATAAACATATTTATCGTTTCTCTAATTGAATAAAGTTTATTACAATTATTTCTTTAGATATTTTCTTATAATTTTACAAAAACGATAGCGCGAGAGATTGATATTTTGTCAACTCTAAATCTCAAAAAAATTGAATTTAAACTCGACCGAATGTCTAAAAACATAGACTCAAAGCTTGCTAGTTATATCTATCGATAGAACCAATAAACAGTAATTGGTCCAATTTAATGATAGATCGATCAAATGTGTTTACATTCCACTTTTAACTACATCGACATGTAACGTTTCTATTGATCTTGACTCTACAATGTCATTCCTATTTTTTATAATTGATTTTTCCGTTTCTTCATCTATTCCATAGTCGACTAGTCAAGGTTATTGATCAACAATCGGTACCAATTATCGAAAACTCACATTCACGCACAACTATTACTCTCGTTAATAACTACATATTATAAAATTTTACTTTTATTTAGATCGATGTTTAATATAAACACACGAAGGAGTGAGAAGATTCATCAAGAATGAAATTTATGTTTTTTTTTCATAATAATTTTGACTTTATTTTTTAACAAGTGCTGTTAAATAAGATGAATCACCTGGTAAGTATTTAGTGTGGCTTAACTTTCAATATTCTCTTAAGTACAAAAACAAGAAAAAACGAAGAAGAAGAAGAAGAATGAATAAATAATGATAGACATAAACTTTGGACAACAATAAGAAATAATAATGCTAATCTAACATTTGATATTATCACGTCCATCTGACGTACAAATAAAATTTCACAATATGTCAAAAAAACGACGATGTGTGTGTGTATATAGTATGAAAAAAAACAACAACAACAGAAATGAAGATAAGTTTTGAGCAATAAACATACAAAACCGGTTGCTATTTTGATTTCAGCACCTGAATTTGAAGATGAAACAGAAAGTCATGCACAAAGAAGAACATACAAATAGTTATATAGATATACACAAAATGAATAGAATTAAGTATAAGACAGATATACTCAAGAAGAAAAAATACAACACATATCTCAAACATGAGATAGACAAAAAAAACCAATGAAGAAAACAAAAACAATTGTAAAGATTATCAAAGCTTATCCCAAGCAACAGGTGATGGCGGTAATTCATGTGCTTGAGCTACTTGTGATCTAGAATAAAAATATGAGAATTTTTCTAAAGAGGAAACGAATTCTTACGTGGCAAATGTTTTATATAATGGCGAATCATGATTAAGCCTTAGTGGTACAGTATTTGCTTGACTAAATTCTGTTAATAATTTATGCATATATTCTAAAAACAATGAAATACAAATCATGTTATTTATTCAAATATATATACATACCTTTAGCTTGACGTAAACTAGAAAAATTTTCATCTGAATCATCATAACGAAAACCTCGAACAGGTTCAAGATTCATTGTATATTGTCTTCCATTTGGTGTTGAAAAACAACAATGGCACATACATGAATGATAACGTATACGTCCTTCATGAATATAATTATTTTCTGAACATAAATAATTCTTATTTAAAGTTCATTCGTTATGTTTAAAAAAAGTTTTACCTAATGCTTGATTTATAGTAATCCGTTTTTTTGGATCCCATGTTAACATTCGTAATAAAAATTGTACAGCATCATGTGTAACATTTTTCGATAGAGAATAAAGAGTGTTTACTTTAGGAGCACGCCAAGTTTTCGATAGGATATAAGATTTAGCACCATCACATGCTGACGCTATTTCGTCTAATGGTGGAGTACCAAGTAAATTAACGATTAAATCAAGCTAGAAACAAAAGAGAAATTGTATAATTGATAGTACTATGAAATCATCTGTTGATATTTCGATAGTTTTTGTGCTCATTTGTTTCACGTGGCCAAAGGTTAAATATTTCGTGTGCACAGATAAAATAATGCACGTATAAAAAAGAATGAAATCATGGCATTATCTTACTCCGCGAGAGAAGAAAAAAATCATTGAAACCAAAAGGCAAACAATGATGATACATTTTAAGAATCAATTCAATTCCCTGTGTTAAGTCTTTTTTATAGTTTAAAAGTATACCTGTTTAAGAGGTGATGATGCTTGGAATAAAATCCTTCTCCCTAGTAATTCTGCAAAAATACAACCAACACTCCAAACATCGATTGCATATGAATAATGTTGAGCACCAAGTAATAATTCTGGTGCACGATAATATTGTGTTACTACTTCTTGTGTCATACGTTTAGTCCTATCTAATTCTTCTGTTCGTGCTAAACCAAAATCACAAATCTAAAAAACAGAAGAAAGGTCAAATATTACATTGAAAAGATTGTTAAATTTACCTTTAATAAACAATCACTATTAACTAAAAGATTTCCAGGTTTCAAATCTCGATGAAGAACACCAGCTGAATGAAGAAATTTTAATCCTAAAATGAAAAAAAATCATTTTCAAATAGCTAATAAATACAAACAATATTTTTCTACCTCGAAGAATTTGATAAAGAAAAACTTTACAATGATCTATAGATAATGCTTGTTGTGAAACAATGATTTTATGTAAATCAATTTGCATTAATTCTGTTAAAATATGCCTAAAATAAAGAAAAATTGTCGTTTTATTTATATATATTATTTTGTATAAACATACACTTCTTTAAATAATTCTATCTGACTAGGTGGCTGAAGAATATCAACAGCTTGAAGAATCTAAAATAAAATATTTTTTTTTTCAATTCAAAAGATTAATATTATATTTTACATTATCATGTCGAAATGTACAAAGCATTTTTATTTCTCTAAATGCTCGTCGAGCAGCTATAACTGATTGAAATACATTCGGCATTTTTTTTAATGCAACACGTCGACTTGTTCGAGGATCTGTAACTGCCCATATAACTCCAAATGCGCCATAACCGATAAGAAAATCTAAAGACAAAAAAAACTTCATTGTGATATATTTTCGAATAAGAATTTCATCTTTTACCTCCAGGTTCATTTTCATTATTTGTTGAAGTAACTGCTGTTGATGAAGTTGATGACGATGATGTACTTGATGATGAATATGATGGTGCTCCGATATTATTTGTATAATAATGTTGTTGTTTATTTTTACTCATAGTATGTGTCATTGAAATCTATGTAAAAAAAAAGGCGAAATTCTTTTTTTTGACAAATAGAAAAATAATGAACTGACCATTGTTCTAATAGTCTAGATATCGGAATATTTAACGAAGATCGAGTTAATTTTCTACAGCATATCTGTCAATGTTGGAGTTACTCTAAAGAGAAGAAGAAGAAGAAGAAGAAAAAAAAGAAAAGAAAAGAATGTGCCAGTCAAACTATCGACATCGAGACAACGTATAAAAACATATGGCCTATCATGGATGTATGGACGGACAAAAATGGGCGACCGATCGTTTGTTCGTTCATATGGACGCAGGAATAAGAAGAAAAAGAAGACATTTACATACATGACCATAGTCATTTTTGATCCAATAGGTTAACAGTTTGACGAAAAAAAGGAACATAGAAGAAATAATTGGTTCACTTGTTTTTAATAGATTGAAAACGAGAGTATATTTTATAAAATAATACTTGTGTAGACTTGATAATAATAATAATAATCAATTGATTAATGTTTATTTTCTTTGTTTTTAAATAAATTAAGAAAAAAAAAGTAATTTGATGCTGATAAATAGATAGAAAAATAATATAGACATATTTTGCAATATCAATAATTTTATAATTAATTATTTCTAGTCATTATCATATAATTTTCAATATACCGAAGTACTCATATTTTTTTTTCTTCAAAATAAATGCCATATGTAATAAAAACAAAAATATTATTGTAACATCTAATTTCTTGTAATTAAACGATAACATCAGTAAATAAAATATTCATATACGTACTTTTTAAATAAAATATTCTTCAAAATAAAAGTTCAAATTAATCGTTTAAAAACGATTGTTCTGACATGGACGGTATAGTTTTTATATGAAGATATTTCAACTAAATAAGTCACGAAAGAAACTTTTGCGTAAATGTTCAATTCCTTACTTGTTATTATATAATAAATATTGTCATAGAAGATTTTATTAGCGATGACGTTTTGTCCAAATTTAACATTTATTTCATTATATCGGATACTATTTCTGATAATGGTGCCATTTGAGATTCATCGGATTCTACAATTAATCACATCGTATAATTCTGTAGATCATATTGCAAGTGATGGAACTTTATGCAATTAATGATTGGTAAAGTAGAAGATATTGGAATTGTACATGATTGTTCATTGAAAACATTAGATAAAGTAAATAATGATGGTACGAGTCGCGATGGAAATCGGTCGATTACTACATATTTAAATGACATGAACAGCTGTTACATTCTTCTTTTTTGATGTCTCAATCTTATCATTGTAACACGTATTTGATATGTTTACGAATGATACTAACTCAAATAGTTTAATAACCACATTTAATTAATAAATGAAACTTGTTATTCTATAAATAAGTTGTTGACATATAAATGCTTCATTTCAATCAATATAAGAACTAATGATAGACTTGTCGGTAACATGTTGTTTTTTTTCTTCGAGGAAATATGTTTATAGGTAAAATATTGCGACGAACGGTAAAAATATTACTTATGATGATAGTATAATTTGTTATTTCGATATTGATTGAAATTGTATATGGAAGCATTCGTTAAAATGAATTGGTTATCATATGTTGTACCAAATTTTAAATCAGCAAAGTATGTTCTTGAACATAATAAATATCTAACACTTATTGAATTACTTGATGAATCTCAACCGTATCGAGAATTGAATCGACTTCAAGATATTGAATTATCAAAATTAAGTAATAATGATCCAATTCTTTCAAGAATACAAGGTTCTCTTATTGGTCTTGCTGTTGGTGATGCTCTTGGAGCAGCCGTAGAATTTCGATCAAATGCTTATATGCAAAAGAATCGTGTTAAAGAAATGCAAGGAGGTGGTACCTGGGGTCTGCAAGCCGGTCA